CAGACTTGCAGCAGATTATTTAATCAGCTTGAAATTATTTTAACCACTGATTCAGACAATGTGCAATCTTTTTATTTCATTTTCGAACTGATCCCCAATGGTTACGGGTGTAGAGTTTTGATTTTGCCAGAGAAAAGGGAACCAGTCTAGGCTAATTTTCTTGAAAAGCTTGGTTGCTAGAAATCTTTCAAACGGCTTCAAGTTCAATTAATTTCTGCACATTTCAACATGCTAAAGGTTAGCGTTAAATTACTCATATTTTGTCACCATCATTCGGTCAATAAAACCAACAATCAACGGCCACTGAGGGCAAAGAAGCCGAAAAAGAAGAGAGCAGAGAATACAAAAATGGAAATGGAAATACTATATAAATAAAAGTCTCATCATATTTTTATAGCAACGTAGACATAAAGATTCCCATCGCCACACATCTACGGTCATGGACAAGGGCCGAAACGATTTTTGGCTTCCCCTTCCGGCGATTCCCCGTCGCTCTGGCTGTAATCTTTTGTTATGTGACCAATAAAGTAGGCGGCAGTTGGCCCTCGAGCGGTGGCTGGGCAAATAAAAACGCAACAACATCGGATCACATTGCTCCAAAAGGGGGCGTGGCCGAGGGAGTGGGGGAGCCGTAGGAAATTGGTACGTAAACCCCGGCATAAGCCAAATGTGCAATAAAAGGATTTGCGTGAGAAATTGCATGAGCTGGCATTTTAAATCCACATTAAGTATGTATGACCTAAATGGGAATATGGGACAAAGGAGGTAGCAATCGAACGAGAAAAACTACCAGCCAAAATAAGAAACAATAAACATGAACAAATAATGTGATGCACCAAAAGAAGCACTCATGTTTGTTCAAATAATGTTGCAATGACTTCGAAGCTATTTGTGATTTCTTTAATAGTCTTTAATTAATATAAAATGCAGGAAATTCCTAATGGTGAACCCCCTTGATTACCACTTATTACCTCAAAGGTGAACTGCAGGTTTCGCCAAACCGGTCATTATTGGCAATTTCAATAAACGAAAAGCATCATTAGGTCAAAGCTCACCGGGGTCACTATCAATTATGACCGCTGTGCTCAGCGGCTATCATTACAATAGGTTCGCCCAACTGTGATGGTCATGAGGAAGATCTACCTACCATTTAAATCTTCTTAAGAGTCGGAAATTGTAGAGTATATTGGCTGCTTTACAATGTATGTATGTAAAGAGCAAAAAGCGAGTAGGCGAAGAATGCATACTCTTATTTTCTGCTGTAAAACCTTAATTATTTATGTTTTTACGGTGGCTTCCTTTGATGGTTTTCATAAATTTTTAAGTTCTACCAAAAGGCTCTTTATCGACCACACATTAAACCTCTTTGACGAGAATTATCATTTGGTGCTTTGATTGCCTTGCGTGTCGTTGAATATATTTATTACTTCAGGTGAATTAATGTGTACGCATACATGTAGGCACTTTTAAAACTTCCATGTCCAAGCCCAATTCGAACCGAGATCCGATCACATAATTGCAGGCACACTACTCTTCAATGCTTTTTCATGTCTCTTTTTTCTTGCTTTTGCGTTGGAGCCTTCATTGTTCTGAAGTCGACGTGGGTTGTGGACTCACCTGAAATATTATTAAATCAGGTTTATTGCAGACTAATGGATAAGCTGTATAAATTTTGGCGTACTTCTGAAAAGTCTTGACCTCCGACCTTTTTCAAATTGTTAGAATCTGTGTATTTCGGGGCACTTGTTGTCTGCGAAAAACCATTAAAGTCGTAATTCTTGGGGGGTTTTTGTCTGACTTTAAAAATTATAACTATCATCTAAAAATATTTGAAGTAAAACTTTTTGTTCTGTCTAAAGTACATACAAAGCATGCCTTTCAACAGTGATTTTTATTAATATTCAGCAAGGTTATATACCCTTGCCATTAAAAGAAAAATTAAAAAATTCTTTAGCACCCAAAAATGGTTTACTGTTGTTATTTGATACAATACAATAGTAATTACGTGAATTTATTATATTATATTTGTTATATAAAATACCTCTTGAATAAATTGTTTTTAAATGTGCGATTTTTGCAAGTGTTTCAATTTTGTTTATTTTTTTACATAAGTTGTGCGTTTTTTTTTCAAAATGCCGACTATATTTCCGAAACCATGCGAAAAACGTTGATTTTTATAGATAAAATGCTTTTGATAATGTTTCACACTAACTGCACTGTAAACAGCATTGGCGTCACCTGCGATGAAACGAATTGCCTAGTCAAAGACTTAACTTGAGATTCCATTTATCGGCGGAGGGTGACGTACCGGAACTGTCAGGGACATTTATCCTAGGCGATGGCAGCCGCAGGATTCGATTCCTGGCAATCATTCATTGCGTCAATCAAGTTGGCAGGCAGCTTCAACCGATTCGCTTCAGTTGCACTTGCGTTTCAATTTAAATTAAAACTTTGCCCGAACTTTAAACACAGCTTATTCAGATCTCCATCCTAGATTTTCCCTCCTGGGCCAGCACTTATCCGAGCGCCAGAACTCGGCTAAATACCCAACGCTTGGTTGGCTACCGAAGAAGGCGTAAGTAAGTGAGCAATGAGCAGGGCAAGTGAGTTGTAGCTCTCTAAAACTTTCCTTGGAGTCCCACACGTGTGCGGAGCGGATTGCAAATTGCAGTTAATGCCCAATAAACTTTATGCTTTTCCGTAAAAATAAAATTCAAGCAATTTAACGTGGCTATGTAGTTAAAGAAATCTCGAAATCTAGAAACAGTTAACAGCTAGTTAATATTTCTTTCGTGGGCAGTTGATACAAAATATTGTTTACTTTTGGCTAGAGAAAAAAGTCATTAAGTTTGTTAAAAATGTAACTTTGTCGTTAAAAAATAAATCAAGCAGTTTGGTTAAGAAATTTTCACAAAAAACACTAAGCTGATAGTTTTTGGATCTTGAAAACAAACAAGAACACGGTTGTTGCGACATTTCTGCCTTTGGTCTTCCTTATCTGAACAGTTGATATCATATACGACTATCTGTTATCATATGCTGCTTACGCAAAATCTTTCTGTTTTCCGACAGTTTTAAAGCCGTATTTAATAAAATAACATAAACGCTGATTGGCAGCTGAAATAAAATGTAAAATGGTAAAGCAGAAGCGCAAAATGCAAGCATTGCGAATACTTTGCAGGTAAAAACTGTGTAGGAGCAAAGTCAATGCCTTTCTGGCTTACTGGAATCTTTCCTCATTCTATTTTATGCAGAGCCCAGCGAATATGATTGATAGATAATTAGCCAATTCTCCCTACCGCCCTCTGTGCTCCAGTTTTCAAACAAACACTGGGCAACGGGGTGGGAAAATCGAAACTCACGTAGAAAACTAAAACCAGCCTTCCTGGCATTATGCTCTCGAAAAAATTATACCAGCTTATCATTTTCGCCCTTTAACTTTAAATCATTACCAGCATTGGCGCGATATAGGTTGTTTATAGGTCAAATTTTAGAGCGATTTTAAAATTATGTTGGCTTTCTAATAGTTCGTTTTTCGAGTGTGAGAAATCAATCATTTTCCTCTTTAACTGCACATTGCGCTTGGTTCTTCTTGAGCCCAGCACTTACTGTTTTTCTTTCTGCAAATCAATCTTCACTCACAGCTACTATAAATGAATTTCGTTCAAGAATCTGATAATACGAGTACATATGGCTGACAAATCGTTCGACAATAACTTGGCTGACTGAAGTTGCTGAAGGCATTGATTTCTGTTTTTAAAGATAAGCTTCTAGGTAATAGGATAATTAATTTTTTTTATTTTGTGCAACATAATAAAGGAATAAAAAACATAAAGAAGTAATTGGTTTTAAAGTTTTTTAAAATAAAAACAATTCCCATGATCCATAAGACCAAGAACCAATAATGTTTTATCTTCAGAGATCAACCTTTTTTTTACGTGGAGACAATCTACTTCCATGAAAGGCTTTGATTTCCTATTTAATTTATACGCGGTGGTGTCAAAAATGGTTTTTTACCGGTACGCAAGATGCCGCAAAATCTAATTTACGCATTTTCGCACTTAACTCATGAGCAGAAAGTAACGGTGGGCTGCAGCTGCCACATGTGGCGTATGCGTAACTTCAACAAAAACCCACAGAAATGGCGGCTAATATTATTTCATTTATTTAGCTGTCTCTTGCACAAGGATTGTGGGAGTGGAAATGCGCATTCATTTCCGCTCTGGTTTTTGGCGTTGTCTCTCCTACGCGACGATACATAAAGTTACCCCTACGGTTCATGCGGTTTTAAACTTAATTATAAACTTTATTGTCACTTAGAAGAAGGCAAAAATTATGCGCTGCCGAGTTTCCTGTTCAAATAAGAAAGGGAAATGTAATTACAAAGAAAGGGCTCGATGTGTCGAGTGGTTGTTCTTCTGCACAACTTTAGTAAAGGCAAGTAAAACTCGCTGAACTTTGGTGATGCATGCTGAGAACCGCAGTACTATCTCACCTTTTGCACTTTTATTTTACTTGCTATCAACAATTTAATAAAACAAATATTAAAAATGCACAAGACATTTTGTTAGACAGAAGTTGTCATTGCTGGGGAGGAGACACTTTCGCCTTCAAGAGGACTGAAAATATAATTTTCATTAAAATTGTTGTTAAAGATTTGACAAATTTCAGTTTTTATTGTTTATCTTTACAAGCTTCGAATCTCCAAGCTGGTTTTTCATTTGGTTTCTTTCAGTTAAAAAAGTAAAGGAATACTTGACGATTGAATAATGATTCCTGGTTTGTTTATGCAAAAAGCTCTTTATATAATATCTGTGGAATAATTAACTTATGGCGTTTATTCTTGTTAATATTGGAAAAATGCATGAAAATAACATTATTCAAACTCATGAAAATTCAAATTATTCAGCAAGAGCTTCGTAGAGTAAAATTATACTAAATTTAAAAGCCACAATTTTTTGACAACAGTAGGCTGTGAAATTGAATTTATCGACAAGATGATAAAATGGATACAAATGGTTCAGTTGTACACCGACACTCGTTTGGTTTGGGTTGTTGAAAGTTCAAAAGTCGATTAATATTTCGATTATAGTTTCCTATTTTTGTGTTGGCTGGAAAACGTAAGTGAAATTGAATGATGCCTTTGGTAAATATATACACACGGATAATGTTTTTTAAATTTTTTTAGTAGTTAAGCAGACAAAAATGTGCGGCTATCCGTGCTATCCTTGCGCCGCCCTTTGTCCCTGCGGGGGCTGTGGACCCAGTGGATTCTATGATCCTTGCTTTGGACCCTTCAACGGGCCGTTCAACTCGTGGTGCGGCCCAAGTGGACCCGGATTTTGGGGAGGCGGTTGCTGTTGATCTCTCAAGGATCTAAGCTGGTCTTTCAGTGAAACAGAAGAAAATTAGGAAACATCTGCTTGTTTTGTTCCATCTCATTCAACAGTCCCAAATCGAACATTACCGCCATTCAAAAATTTAAAGTGCATTTAATAGAACATCTATGGTCTCTTCCCATACATTGTACATGGCAATGAAAACTAGTATTTTATTTGTTAATTAAGGGGCATATTTATTATAGGTGATTTTCTGTACAAAATTTACTTAACTTGTGGTTTGCAGTGTATAGGCAGAAAAATAAAATTTATTATTTTCCATCACCCAAAACTTGCGCAATGCCAGCACCTAAGTCAATCAAATAAGCGATGTTTCAGTGGTGCCAACAACTCCACCCGATTTAAAACAATTATAAAAAAATACGTGTTGAACAATTTATTGAATAAACATTCTACTCTTCGTATGCGACAGTAACCGTGTTCTTCTATCATCTGAAATCGGTGCAAGCGAGAAATAAAAATTGCAAGAGAAAGGAAGGAGCAGTCCCGCAACCTGCGACCGAAATTAGCAGCAACCTCCTCGCCAGAAGCCTGGACCACTGGCCCCACACCAGGAGTTAAAGGGACCGTTGTAGGGGCCGAAGCAAGGATCGTAGAAGCCACTTGGTCCACTTCCGCCGCAGGGACACAACGCTGCGCAAGGATAGCAAGGATAGCTGCACATGGTGACTTGCTTTGTTCTATAAAGACGCCGCTTATTGTATTGCAGTCAAGACTCTCAAGGATTACTTACTTAAACCAAAAGAAATAAAACTTTTAGAAATTTTGTCAGTCCTGAAACTGTCCGAAGAGTTCGAATTTCAATGTTCAACTGAAAAATATAAGGTTCCAAAAAAGCAGCGAAAATTGTTGTGGCTTGATTTTAATTTCAAGGCAATCTTTTTGATAAATTCGAATTATATCTAAGAATTTGTTAAGGGGCTAAGGAGGCTTTAGAGTATAATATATACAAATGTAAAATAAACCAAATAAAATCCGTTTTTGTATTGAGTTAAAGCTTTAAAGCTCAAAATAAAGATATTTCCCTTGTCGCGGCTAACATACATTTTAAGAACGATCTCTCAATTACACCGTATTTGGATTTATAAATAAAGTTTAATTCAACTAGAGGATAAGTCCTATAATCTGCAAAATTTAGGGCTGTTTTATTTTAAGTAGTTTTACGCGGTTGATTCGAATGATGAAACTAAAAAACTTTGCCACTTGCCAAGAAACGTGTAATTTCTGTCCTATAATCTTACAACCTTCACATAAAGCAAAACGGTTTAAGAAATCTGATAAAAACTGACTGCATAAGTACCTTTACCTTTACCTAAGACCTTAAAGTCAAATAAAATAATTACTCCTTCAGAATCTTTTTTAGATTTCAAGAAATAAATATTTAAGTAAAACCCCCAGTTTATCGCGATTTTACAAGTTTAGCACCCAATGCGTTACTTTTGTACTTTTGTATATGGAATTTACTTAGTAAAGCGTATTGATTATATCGTATATCTTTTCGAGGGCTATACAGCCCAGACCGGACTAGCTTTTCGTAGCCAAATGCTTTTCGAAGCAATTAATCTCAATTATTTGGCCAGAGTTTAGTATGCAGCTCGAGTGAAACGATGGCGATTTTAAGCTCCGCACTGATGGATTCTGTTTAGAATGTCCGAGGATTGTCAGCAAATCAGGTGCAGGACGTGACGTGCTTTCGATAAAGTGCACATGAAATAAAGGAAACAAAGCAAGGACGGAAGCGAGGTAAAGTAAAAAAACTTTTAATGCGCTTAGGCGGCGGGCGATACACGAACGCTGAATGGTAAATGCTGCACGGCCAACAAAATCAAAGCCAAGGCAAGCCACAAGAGCGGTCCAGCACTTAAAGGCTACCGCCCTGCCCCACTCCTCCCAATCCCCAATCCCCGATCCAAGCAAAGGACGAGTGGGGCAATGCGTGAGCAATTTTTCTGAGCGGGAAACAACACGGACCTCGGGGAGAGCACGTCTGGGATTCAACTTTTCGATGATGACGATGGCCTCGGCTGGTTGAGGACTGACCAGACCCGGATTTTTCGACGAGCGGTGAGCAACCCAAAACTCTTCGTATTGGGAAACATTGTTATGCAGGTCATAATTAATTGACCCCATTAATGAAGCGTATCGGAAGATCAGAAGGGATCTGCTCGGGTTATTTATTATTCTGGCACGAGGTTCAAACAAGTCACCTTAGACATTGTAATTACGTTCTGAATTTAGAAGTTGGCAGCTTGGAATTAGTTTTACTCGGAACGAGCCTACGACCGGTTTAAAACATTAAAATTGTTGGTGAAAAAATTTTAGGTCGAAATATGGCTTTTAATAAAATTGATGGTGTTACAAGCTTTTCGAAACAACTAAATCGGTGGCGCAACGGTGAGAAACCTTTTGAGATGATGTGTAATGGTTGTGTAAAATAAAGTAGATAGAAAAGCTGATGGAATTGCAGAACACAATTTAGGCATTTCCTTCTCCGTATAGTAGAGATTAAATGGGGCGACTTTTTTATATTTTCAGTTGTTGTTTTGATGTGTCAGCAATCAAGGAATAGCCACGTGGCCCAACGACCAGCGGCAGTAGAGCAAGTTGTCTCGGGCGAAGCAGTGACCAAAATGACCGACCACTTGGCCTGGTCGAAAAACTCGCCTGTCAGCCTGCTCGTGGATACCGCTCGGAAGCCGCAGCACAACAGGACTCTCGAGTTGAAGAAAGCCGCTGCGCAGCTCAGCAGGAGCAACGAGTCTCTGAAGGCGCACTACATTCAGAAGCGAATCGACCGCTCCGCGGAGGAGCTGCTCGCTAAGGAGCCGCAGACGGCCAAGAAGCTGGCCAGCTTGATGTCCCTCAACATTGCAATGGTGGAGACGAAGCGGCCGCGATCTTCCAGCGCGCCAGCGAGGGGCATGGAAACCAGCCACCCAACTGGCGCTATCGACTTCAAGCCGCAAACCCAGCGCATCCCTCGTTGGCAGCCTAAGAAAGCAACCATGGAGGCTTCCGCTTTCAATGGAGGCAGTTTGAAAGTGGAAAAGGACCACCAGAAGGGCGATCTTAATAGCGCTCCAGTGCTGGCTGAGCCAACAAAAATGGCCGAGCTCCCTCAACAGAAATCGCCTGAAGTGGAAGGCAAACTGGGCAAAGCTGCGAGTGTGGATGCGTTAAAAACAGGTAGAAATAACTTCGGTTTTAGGAAGTAATGCAGCATTTTACTGATAAATCTTACAGCTTCATTGATTAATCTGGCCTCGGAAAATCAGATTCTGCGAAAACCGACAGAGGTAGCAAAGGAACCGATTGCAAAAAACTTAAACTCCCTGACTAAATGGAAAATAGGTAAAAAAAGTGGAGTAAATTTTCCAATAACGCATGATAATAAATGGGTTCTACAGGATCCAGGTCCATACCCCGTCTAGATATTTAATGTACCCCGTAGGCGATGGCAGGAAGTTCGGTTACGTTTGTCCTTAAGATTGATGAAGAAGAATTATAGTTTATGATTAATATATTATTTTTGGCACAATAAATTTCAGTAAAGCAACAAGAAATTTAGAGAATATTGTTTCTCGGCAACCCGGTTCCATACCATTCAGATGGAAATTCGGCAAGCCGAAGTCGTCATATATGTCTAACAAAATACATAAAGGCAAAACAACATTAATTAAACAATATATTTTCGACGGTTGTTCATATGACAGCTATATGATAAAATCCTGCGTAATTCAAGATTGGAAAGAAAATTCTATATTCCAAAAACCATGCTCGTGCGATAAAAAATAAACAAACAGAACGACGGACGAACACGTCTTCTCCCTGTGCAAAGGTATAATAAGTAAACAAAATAATTAATATTTCTGGTTTCTAAAGGCGAAGGCTTGCAGCTATAAATAGCTTTATATAATTGCTGGAGGACAACGTAAGTCAGTTCCGTTGGCATTTTTCAATTTTCTTATCTCTAAGGTGGCAGTGTCAGTTGGCAAGCTTGTGCTAAATCGAGAATGGTTTAAAAAAGAATGTCATTCCTGGCCTATAAAAGACTGTCTTTAACTGTTGTGAAAACATTGAAGCCTTCAACCCCAACCAAGCTAGTCGAGATGTTCATCAAGTGCTTTCTTCTGCTATCAGCAATCAACTTGCTGTCCGCAGGGCGTCCTCCCCAACCGGAAGAACGCATCATCGGCGGAAAAGACATTGAAATAGAACAGGCTCCTTGGCAGGTGTCCTTACAGCTCCGAGGACATCACTATTGTGGTGGCTCCATTTACAGCAAAGACATCATCATTACTGCTGCCCACTGCCGCTTTGACTATGAAGATAAACGACTTGAGGCCGAGGACTTCCAAGTTCGCGCAGGATCCTCATTGGAAAACAGCGGCGGGAGTCTGGTCAAAGTGGCAGCGATTAAATCACACGAGGACTACAGCCCACCTTCAGTTCTAAACGACATTGCTGTAATGCGACTAAGTGATCCGCTTGTGTTCTCCAGCAAAGTGCAGAGGATCCCCTTAGCCGAAAAGAATCCGTCACCTGGAATTCTCGCGATGGCTTCTGGCTGGGGAGCAGTGAAAGTAACAGATTTCAAAGGAAAGCCAAGGGAGAAATATCACGAACATCTTCAAGGAGTACACCTTCGTATACGACGTTTTTCCCAGAGGAAGGATAACATTTTTGTCTATTCTTTTAAAAAATCGACTTGTTCTGGCGACTCTGGCGGATCTTTGGTTGTTGACCAGCAACTTGTCGGTGTTACCTCATGGGGTACAAGTAAGTTTTGCGATGAGTTTGAAGCCTTCTCAGGCGTACCTTACTTCCGGAACTGGATTTTAAAAGCCGTTGAGTCTGTTTGATCTTAACTTGGAAAATAAATAACTTGCTTTGGGAAGTGGATACTTGTTTCTCTTTACTAAACCTGTCACCTTTGATCAAATCAGTTGGATCGATTAGTTTGTAAAAAGAAAAGCTGTTTCTGTAGTCATAAATCAGATATTTTCAGTTCGCTGTTAGCATGTTTTCAAATGGTTGCGATAAACCCATAGCCCAATATCTTTATGCAGCCAATTAACATTCCAGTGATAGTTTGTACCCAACGGAATGCACTAAGCTGGCAAGATACATATGTACTCGTATGTTCAAAAGTGTGTGTCGCTTCCTGGAAGCTCCAGTAGAAAATGTTTGCTCAACGGATTTTCCTGCTCTCCATCGTCACTCTGATCTCCTCCAAATGGATTCCGGAAAGAATAGTCGGAGGGAAGTCTTCGCAGATCCTTACCCACGAGGACTATGATGATGATGACGATGAGTGTTCCCTTGAAATAGCCGTGATAGAACTGGAAAACAATCTTCAAATGGGTGACAATGCGAACTTCGTTCGCTTGGCCGACAACGCTTCCCTGCCAGGTTACGCGGAAAACCAGGGTGAAGATGTTGAATCGGAGAGTTTGCATAAATGCTTTTCCTGTCCAATTCTATAAAGTTCAGCACTTTGCAGGCTCCCCGGGAAGAGATGCCTGCAGGGGGGGATTCGGGGGGTCCTTTGGCGTCCGACGGCAAACTGGTTGGCATTGTCTCCTTCGGAAAATGGTCTACCGATCCAGAACCCCATGGAGTTTTCGCCAAAGTGGCTGAATTTAAGCCCTGGATATCAAAGGGAATCCGACGAGTTTGAAAGGCAACATGCATGTTTTAGAATTTTTAAACAATGATTAAACTAAATCAGTGCTAGTTGGAAAAATAGTCTTGATGGCAACAACAAATATTGCATTTATTGATGAAAAACCATTTTTGTTTATATTAATAAATTATAATTTATAATATTCGATTTGTCGACCAAAGCCCAAAATATAGAAGGGTTGTGGATAAGTTAGAAGTTTGTTAAATTATCATTAAAAAATATTCAATGTTTATAAAGAAAAAAGTAAAACAAGGTTTTCATTTAAATTTTCTTAAAAATAACTGTAAAGCAAAATTATTAAAGTATTTTAAACGGTCCTGATTTAAATCGTTATGTTGATCAAGAATATATACTCTTTATGGGGCTCTGACTGAACTTGCCAGGGTACAAAAATTGTTAATCTTAGCACACAAAATAAATGCCATTAAAATTGGACAGCTATTGGACAGATTAAACCGAAATTATTTTTATGAGTTTGGATCATTAAATTTTTGATTTTGCTATATACAAAAAGTATTCTTAACCGTAAAGTATAATCTAGTCATCAGAAAACGTAGCGTTCAGGTGATGTATTCATAAAAACCGAAGGAAAACTGTGTTTTTAACCATTAGCACTTCATTAAGGTGTCATGTTCGTCTTATCATTATCCGTCTATAATATCAAGGGTCTTGCCTTGATGCCACACATGTGCACCGTGAAAGAAAAATTAATTAAAACTTACCTCGACGAACTGAATGTCAATAAAAGTTTACTCAAGATACGACAACAAGTCAACAGCAAAAGGGGGAGCAAGGACTTCGAGTTGCGGACGGATCGGATAGCAGATGCCTGGGATCGGGGGACAAAGTCGACCAAATGAAATGTTAAACGCGCCATTAAACGCAGCCCAGAGAACTAGAATGGCGGCACTGAGATGGCCCGTTTATTGGCCGTAAGCAAACAAAGGCCAACAGCGATGAGCAAACGCCAAATGCGACAGGACAAAACGCAGCAGACGCGGACGCGCAGTCAAGCAAAAACAAGGAGTCAGCTCTGGGCGAATAAATAATATGACACGATGAACTGGGGAGCACTCTGGGGCACCGGTCCAGAGTGCCGCTGTTTGTCTTGGACTTGAGCGGCCACCACTGCCCAGGCAGCCCAGGCAGCCACAGCAGCAAAACAATTAACAATCTCCGTTTGTCGTAATTGACTCAAATGAGCGCAAACAATAAATAAAACAGCAACTGTGGCAGCGGCAGTTGGAGTGGGAGTGGGAGTGGGAGTGGGCGGGAGAAGCTCTGACAAGAGGCAACAAAATGTCTTTGTTTGGCCAGAGCTGACCATCGCTAGAAGATTACATTTTGCTGGAGTTTGCTCAAGAACATTAGGAAGCAAAAGCGTAGCATTTTTACGGGGCTTAAAACACTTCAGAAGGCTATCCTAAACCCATGCAGATGGTATAGTAGTTTTAAACCTAAATAATACAATTACTTTACATAACAATTTTTTAGATGACATTGTTAGTGTTGGCCAACCTGTGGACGAATTCCTGCATCCATATTTGTGATTTCTACTGGATCTGCTATATGTTTATGTCTCTCGAAAAAGGATAGGCGTTGATTATTAAAAACTTAGCTGTTTGGTTTTAAAATAAGTGCCCAAATGAAAGAAAAGGTGCTTAACATTAGTGAACAAAAGCTGCTTAATCGTTAGAGATTAACCAGAACTGCCGATTGGTGATTTGCTCTTCCACATTGCTCCTAACTCGTTCCTGTTCGCATGCCTTTCGCTTCGATTGTTTGTGCAGCTTGTGCTCATCGTGTCCTTTGTTACCAGGGATTGCAATACTCACCCTCTCCAAGAACCCCTTTTCCTTAAGTGGACAACAGAGAATGAAATACTCAGGTTAAATAGGAAAACACCCACCCGCTTCTTGACCAGAAGCTTTCACTTCAATATTTTGGTTTCAATTATTCACATTGTATATTGGGCATGCTTTGTGTGGCAAAATGTTCCAGTCTAATAAAGGGTTCTATCATAAGTGGACAATGACAAATGTCAGAAACATGAATAGTAGTCAAAGTAGAGCAATCTTAACCGCACTAATGCCAATATGATAAAAAACAACGACGTGATAATAACATCATCTATAACAGGAATGGTTGAGATGAATCGTTAAACGACCATAACAAGAAGAGTTTTTTAAAATCCACGTAATACAAGTAAATTATTTAAATTAATTTAAATTAAGTATGTTTAAACGAAAGCATATTTATTAATTTTAAGTAATTTAATCTTTTTAAATCCCTTTTACAATATCTTTGAAATGCATCAGATACATCGCTGCCAAGGTTAGCTGTTAAACTTCAAATATGTGTTAGAGGCAGAATGATAGAATCAACTACTTGCAGCGTGATGGCGTCTGCCACTTTGGGTGGCCTGGCGATGTCATCCCGCCTAAATAAGTGCCGAAGAGCGTGTTTGCCGCAGATAAATTTGATTTACATGTGCAAATTAACGTGGAATTGAATTTTCGTATGCATGAAATGTGCGCATAATTGGTCTTTCACACTCGCAGCAGCAGCTCGTATCCTTTCACGCCTAAACAAGAACCAACGCTCCACTCTAATTGCTAATGTATACAATTACCACTTATTCAATGGATACAAATTTTAATCCCACATTTTATTTGCTTCATCGCAGACATAATGCAGATCCAGAGCGGAGAAAAACGATTTTCTTAGATTGATACCAATTAATGAGAACGGAAGATTATTTCGTCAAGCCGACTTTAACATATTCTTGCAGCTAAAACCGAAATCAATCCAATCATTTTCTATAGCAGCTAAACTTTGACCAATTAAAAAGGAATTAAACCGAATACATAAAATGAATACTTGTAAATGTTTTTAGAACACACCCTTTGCTTTAAATTGTAAGTTTAGAGCCGTCAACAGTGTTGGTCGATTCACTAACTCCTAAAAGCCTTTTGTGGTCTCAGCCATTTACGCTCTTGTTTGCCTTCGCTTTTAACTTCCGTTTAAACTTCTCGAAAATGCCGAGCTCGGGCGATTATTAGCATTTCTTGGCATTTCAGAAGCGCCTATCGAAAAGTGCCGTGGAAAATTTTTCTTACAGACTGGCTTCTTCGTACCCACGCCAACATATTTAAGTACCAGTTTTCTGTTTGAAAACGAACTTCCGCCGCCGGGCTAATGTGATTTTTATTGGATTTATAAACCAAAGTGTCAACTTCCGGACTTTCAACTGGTGGAGATTACTTTTGAATTTGCATATTTCAACCACGCTTAGATCTTAATAGTTTGCCCTGCATAGGTATAAGATTAATTCTTATTGAACAATTATTGTGCCCGGCTGCTGCTACATAAGTATTATCGAACTTTAAGTATTTTAATCATTTTTATTTTCTTGAATCGAGTTGAAAGTATTGGTGGAAATGATAGATATACTGATGTAGGCAGACTAAAACAAATATATAACGTAATGACTCCAATCTGTTATATGCCAGAAACACATAATAGCAATATTCCCATAAATACTCTGCTATGAAAGAAAGTTAGCCACCATTTGCTAAGAAGAAGGCGATTGGTTTGCCCCGAGTCTGACTCGGAAAATCTTCATATTTTTAAACGCACAGGTTAAAAATCCAAGAGAACGCAATAAATGCCCATGGCCGCGACTTTTGCTGGCCGTAGCAACTGCAATTTGTTTTCATCGGCCGAGCTCGGTACAGAAAATTACTAGAAGCGGAAATCATTAAAAATTTCCGGCGTATTTGGCAGCACCAATGATTGTTACATTGAAAAAGGCAGAAAAGAAAAAGTAAAAGAAATGTAATAACCACAAAAGCTTTGCGGAGTTTTGTGTTCGCCGAACCTCTTTTGGCAGAAAGTTTTCAGCTACGCGCCCGCAAACCAAATCGGTTTTAGCTCTTTACCAAATTAGGACGCATTGGCTGGCTTTAGGTTCCCTTATCCCTGCTCTTGTGGCTTTCTTGGAGCCATTTTTGTTTTTCCTCCCAGCTAAATATTTGGGCATCGAATATTCCCATAGCTCAATCGAATTTGTACGCAAACCCAATTTTTAAGGAAAACATTTTATTCGCAAGAAGAGGAACGCAGGATGGTCAGCGCTGTTGCCACCTATAGAATTATGGGGTATTGGTCATAAGCCCAATATAGGATACAACTGTAGGATACCTATAAAATGGGAAACAAAAGTGTGCTGCTGGAAAGGATGTAGCTTGGGGTTTTGCGGTTTTAGTTTTTTAGGAAAAAAAGATTGGGATTTCCCTTGTGGCGTTTGTTCTGCTGACAGAAGGTTTGCATTTGCCATAAAAAATGATTGTGTGTTCTTCTTTATTACTTTGCCTTGCAAAAAATTCTTCGCCTTATCGCCTTTTTTTGGTTTTCAGTTGGTCATTTATTGGCATGAAAAAGGGTATGAATATTTTCATAGCCCAAGGTTGTTTAACAATTTATCATTAATGATTATGAGGATATATTTCTTTTTGTATAACTAGGAAATATTTTAAGTCACAAGGCTTAAAAAAAGGGTTTAGCCAAACTGGACCATCTTCAATAACTATCTTGTTTAAATAGTTTTTCAGAATTAACAAGTGTTCAATTCAGAAATTCATCCTGATTTTCTGACTTTGAATTGGAGTTACTGTTAATGGTTAAGAAAAGCTAAGGTAAGTTTTCTGAAGAACTAAAAGTGTCAAAGTGGGTTCGATACAAAAACTGCTTTGCCTCCACAAAATAAATTAAAATCTATGTGCATTCCAAACATTCTAGTTTCAACAGGATTATAAACCTGAGCTCGAACACTATCTAAATTATAGATCGGAAGATAGAAAGAAAAAGCGGCAACTGAAAATGAGAAAAAATTCTGTATTTCACTGACGAGAAAATAAATCTGACTTGGGCGTGCCGAAACATCTATACTCTTTGAGTTGGAGCTTTAATATTATATGTTATCTGTTAAAGAACAGCGAATTAATGTTGGCAGTTGAGCGACTTTGTGTGTTTCTCAGTTTCTCCTGTGTTACAACATACTCGAAGTTGGATATTCCGAAAGCGAAACAATTCGAACAAACAGATATGGGGATAATAACATGCATACTTACATATAGGGTTTTTTGTGTAGTATTTTTAATGTTAAGTAGAATTAAGCAAAATAAAAGCTTAAAATATATACAGTTAAGCAGCAAAATGATTCAAATAATTAATCAAGACCCTCTTTCCCATCTGGCAACTGCCTTAGAAATTGCAAATACCAATTTTACAGAGGAAATCACATAACCCCTACTGGCGAAAGAGAGGGAACGAAGAATTTCGGCACAATGACAAACAATCGAAAACTTTCGCAGCTGAGGGGGCCAAAAGGGCGACTGATGGCGGAGAACAGTCCCGATTCCATACTAACTTTAATGATTGTGCGGTGGCGCATAAAGTACAAGGCAAAGTACAATATTGAGTGCAATCACGCCCACGCTCACATGCGAGACAGGAAGAGAAAACTTCTGACCATTGGTTGTAAAACTTCACACGCTCATTGAACCCCGTCGAGGCAGAAAACTTGAACTTTTAATTTGTTCTAAAGTAAATTTTAGCCAGAAACTTTGGGTCATATTGGTAGTTCGTCGGGAGGTTCTCACATGAGGCGGCTGACTTTCAATTTTGCTGCTTGCCCGCTGCCAATTTTGCCTATAATTTACAAATATTGTATAAACGAAAGTGTAAAATAAAGATTTAATTAGACATGTATGCACGTACTTTAAAAATACCTTGTGTAAAGGATAAGAAGTTATTTATTATATTTTGAATATAGTTTGCAAATGGACTTACTTGAAGTAGGCAATATAATTTAAAAAAAACTTAGAAAACCAGCGATTGATTGACTGAAATAAAGCACTAGAGCGACTTCCAAGATAACCCAAGTTTCGAATAATTGCATCCTTAACAAAACCTATTAAAATATTTTTAAAATATAAGCATTAAAAAAAGCTAAACTATATGTACAAAAGGCAGAACCACGTTGCTCACATTCCCCAAATTGGAGCAGACATCATCAATCTCAACGATGCCCTGCCTGGCTAAATCACTGACTGACTCGATGAGTGTCGCCGAAGGCGTGGAAACGAAGCAATAGACACCTGAAAGTGGGCCATGTGGAAATCGCGCTGACACAAAGGGCGACGTTTGATTAAGCGAAACGCCGTTGGCATTTACCAGGACCTGACACCCTATCTTTCTCATCGTCCTCATTCGCTTTGTGCCGCCGCCAAACACAATCAGATTACACTTCGCTTGGCACTCGAGTCCCCGTTCCTTTTCTTCCTTCTAATGCTGCTCCAGCTAAATTGTCAGCGATAACACGAGGTAGGGAAAAGAAGAGGTCCAGACAGCAGCCAAGTGGGTATTATGAGCTTGCTGTTAAAAATCAAGTATACGACATGACCACACGCAGCATCTTTTCTTGAACTGCCCTAAGAAGCGTTTTCACATCTCCAGCGCAACCATATTATAATCTTTTCACCTCAGGCCAGGTTTCATAGTTACAGAAGCATCGTAAAAATGTCAGAAATAGTGAAGGGGGATTATCCCACACATCTGGGAACATTTGTATATTCCTATTATTCTTTCTGCGCAAAATAAGCACTGAAACTTTAAGTCTTGGGCAAACAACTTTCTTTGGTTTAAGCCGAAAGTCATTGACTATTAGTGTCATCAAAAAAAGAACTTGAAAAGTCCATTGCAAAATATGTGATTATGCAATGTTAAATTAGTCTTACTGACTGAGCTCATATCCAAACCTTAGTATGTATTTGTATAAATATATTGTTATATCTTCAAAAACTAAAATTTATAAGATTTATATACATATTTTTATAGAGGATATATAAAATTTAATTTTTTTTGCCTATGGCCATTTTTTTTTTTCAGAATCTTAAAGTTCATACCAATTGATTGTTATTTGATAAGCACTGAGTATTTTAAAGAAGCTTCTCAACGCTATTAAGTACATGGGTGTAGCATCCTTTTTTTATAAAACAGTTTCACAGGTAAAAATAATAGCGGGAAACGTTGCTATAATTTTTAAAAAGGCTAATTAAAAACTAAAAACCCGATGAGTTTTTAGTTATAAAAAATTTAATAAACTGGCAAGATAGAATGTTTTAATTTAAGCGTGAAGCAATACTTGTTTTGGTATTTTTGGTTAATAGTAATACGCCAGCTAATGTACTCTGATCACCAAGGAGACTAGGCCATAACAAGGACCAACCCCTAAAATTGTTGGAGTATACATTTTAAAAGAATATATTTTTGAGGCATTGAATAGACGGAAAGTATAAACTGGATTGCAATGGCTTCTAAAAGCGGTGCCGATGAGAAGTCCATCTCGGTGGAAGGTGGTGCCGAAGCGGAAGCAGTTCCTCCTCCCCCACCAACGGCGGCTGGCCGGCCCAGACCGCCCACCTCGCAGCTCTTTTCGGTGAGTCCTTGCAAAGACGAAAGCAGTCTTAGTCCGCTTAGTAATTCCGGTCATTCAGCGCGGGAATCTGGTTAGCAGTCGGACATCAGGGGGCGATAAATCAGGCTTGGCAAGACCGTCCACAGCGGTCAGGGCCGTGGGCTACGCGGCCAATAGCGGGTCTGCTGGCCAAAGGTTCGACCAGTTTTTCCTAGAAAAGGCCAAGCAGCAAACTCTCTCATCGGCGAACGCCGTGGATGCCGCCAAGGAAGTGAAGTGAGTAGATGCAGTGTTTCGTTTCAGTGCAGAGTTTTGGTGTTTGTCTAATTTTGCTAAGCACTTTCCATTCTAATTGCTTAACCTTTTGCGCACCCTCATATTTTCAATAAACATGGTTGCACAAGCATCGCTTTTATCGTCCGTAAAAATCTAAGTTGAGATATCCTTAACGGTTATAGCCCCCAAATCAAGTATAAGAATCTGGAGGCCAAGATTGTGAAGCTCTTGGAATCGTCCATCGTACTGGCCTGGCAGAGCACGGCGGCTCGGGCGAGCGGAGATGTTAACTCGGAGGCGAAGTCGGCACTGTCTGAATCTTTGAATAAGGCCAAGGAAGCATTCTCATTGGACCGAACACTGCACCGATTTCGAGACCAGCAGGGCGAGAATGTCTACCACAACTTCGATTTGACATATGCCGTAGGACCGACAACGATCGAATGTATAACAGGATATTAAATGATCTGTTGCAGGTGTTCTTCAACTTGGCCGAGCAATACGAACGAAATGACTTGCACATCGAGGCGCTCAACACATACAGCATCATGACCAAGAACAAGATGTTTCCCCACGTCAACCAGCTGAAGATCAACATGGGCAACATCTACTACAATATGGGCATCTATCAGAAGGCGGTTAAGATGTACCGCATGGCCCTCGACTCGGTGCCGAAGAACTTGAGCCAGTTGCGGCTGAAGATCCGTGAAAACATCGGAGTCCTCTTCGTCCGCATGGGCTCATACTCGGATGCTGCCTCCAGCTTTGAGTTCATTATGTCGGAGCGGCCGGACATCAAGAGTGGCGTCCACCTCCTGCTCTGCTACTACGCCATGGGCGACGTCGAGAAGATAAAACTGGCCTTTCGCAGCCTGTGCGATGTCCACGCCGGGGAAACGGAAACCGACTTGGGCAGCGAGAGCAATATAATCAAGCTGCAGCAGCAAGCCGAGCAGGGTGGACAAGCTGAGGATCCCGACTCGCAAAAGTCCCTGGACCGCGGAGGTATGGCGGGTGCGGACGTGGCAGTCATCGACGCAGAGGGCGGCGGATCTTACGAAAAGGTTCAGGAGCCTGTTAAGTTTTCGGCCAAGACAAAACAGCGCAGCGTACTCAAAGCCATTAAAAAGGACGAGCTTGCGGCGTATACCAATCAACGACGGAATGCGGAGAAGCGATCCATAACAATGATTGTGGATCTCATCTCCCCATTAATCGAAGAGAACTATAATGACGGTATGTAAATAAAGAAGAAAGTAGTTTACACTATTCTTTTGCCTAGTACTGTTCATGTCTGAAGTACCTGGAGTAATAATCAAATTTGCAGGCTACAATTGGTGCATTGAGATCATCAAAACTTCAAATCTTTCATGGCTGGCAAACGAACTGGAACTAAACAAGGCGCTAGTATACCTTCGACAAAATGATGTAAATCAAGCGATTGAAACACTACAAATGTACGATCGTAAGAGTGAGGGATCCATGACGGCCAGTGCCCTAACCAACCTTAGTTTTATCTATATAAGTGTAAGTTTAAGCAGATGAAAAAGTGAAGTTAGTGTTCCGACAATATTATAAAAATGGTATGCCTTAAAAGAGGAGGACACAGCTAAATTCTGTGGCAGCCGGAGTTCGGATTCTAACGAAGATTTCCGAAGTCGTGACCGCCTTTGTGTCCGTATGAACATTTAAATCTTGGAAGAGATTGTGAAGTTCTGGGTTACAATCGGTGTAAATGTTAAACTGAACTGAAATGTTTTGAAACTTTTATTATTGGCCGACAATCGCGGCTCGACACTCGAGTACAAAATATCTTCTTGTGTAAAAATATAAGTACAAGTAATTTCAGTAAAGTAATGTCTTTCAGCTGGGCAACCTGGAGATGGCCACGCACTGCCTTAACCAGCTTCAGGAAATCGGGGCCCTAGAAAACAATGCTCTTGGCCTAATCAATGCCGGCATTGTCGACTTGCGGAAGCAGAACCTCGTGTCAGCCCGCGACCATTTGGAACGAGCTCTGCAGCTCCAGCCGACGAATTTCGAGGCCAACTACAATCTCGGCCTGGTGGCCCTGGCGCAGCAGGATTTTGAGCTGGCTGAGGAGCGATTTGAGCTGCTAAAGGCCCAACTGATGACGCCCCATTCTGTGCAGCACAGCCATGTGTTCTACCAGCTGGCCAAGTTGCAGGAACGCCGGTTGGGGGGGCGCATTCAAGCCCACCGCCACGCCTGGGGCGGCTCTGCAGGCGTACCTTCAGGTGCTAGGCATCTCCGCCGCCGACATCGATTCACGGCTCTACGAAAAGGTCGGCTCCCTGTACGAGCAGATTCAGGACCATCAGGAGGCCAACCAGTACTACAACGAGGCGTACCGTATAAACATGAGTGACATAAGCATCGCCAGCTCCATCGGCTCCTACTACATCAAGCTGCAGGCCACGGAAAAGGCACTGTACTACTACGAGCGGGCGGTGTTGGCCGATCCAAACGACCCCAACCTGATGTTGCGCATCGCCAGCTGCTTCCGCAACTCGTACCTGCCACCCAAGCAGTACTTGGGCATGTTCCAGAAGATCTACGCCCGTTTCCCAGACAACCTCACCTGCGTCCGGGCGCTAATGCAGGTGACCAAGTCTCTGGGACTGGGCGATCTGCACGAGCGGTACGCAATGGACTATGCGCGTCTGCAAAAGCAGCAGCAAGAGCGGCAGAACGAGCAGCGTTACCAGCAACAGCGCCTGTCATCAGCGACCTCGAGTAGCAGCCGCTTGCGAAGTAAATGGACGGTCATGTTGTACATGTTGTTGCTCACCTAATTTCCTTTTCTTTTTACTGCAGCTGTAAGGCAATCCAATGAGGAAAGGTTGCAGGAGAACAGCGATATCTCAAAGGGTATGACCTATACCCAAAGTCCCGCCACGTATTCCGGTAAAGTTATATTACAACATTGGGAATCTTCTTATTTTGTCAATTTACAGTCCAGCAGTTCGATCCTTTGGGTCCTCCGGCGGAACGTCCCCGCACTGGCATGTATCGAGCTCAACAGAGCAGAGACGATTCGGATGATGATGCGGAAATGAATGCCGAAAGCCTTCTGCCCATTTAAGTAAATGGCTTTTTAATTATAACGAAATCAATAGTCTTAAATGCCTTGTAAAACTTTACAAGAACAATAAGAGTTTAAACAAAATGTTCAAATGTAATTCAGCACTCTTCTTAGCATTCATCCCAGCCAATATAAATATTTCTAACGGTCCGTCGATAAAACAACTTGATCGAGTATAGCATACATGTATGTACATAATCGTAAAGTATTATATGTAGTATAAATGTAACGACAAAAGTCATTCTTCGTGCAATTTCTTCAAGCTGAGAAATTAGAACATTAAGTAAATTAGATAGACGGACAAATGGACACACGCATTTCGATTGAGATCGTGATGCTGTTCAAGAATATATATACTTTATGGTGTCTGAGGTGTCTCCTTTACTGCGGTGCAAACTACTGACTGAAATTATAATCGCATTTACAAGGGCATAAAAAGATTTACGGCAAACGTGATTCAAAAATTGTGATTGGTATCAAAGAAAAACAAACACATTTTATAAAACTAGAAACGCCCCTAAAAGTGATCAGTTACCTCCTTAAATGTCCTTTTAGCAAGGACATTATTATGCATTTCAAGCTTCGGCGAGCCAAGTTAGAACTTGACTGTACAAACTACCAGATATCATCATATATCTACAGCTCAATTTTTTTCTCTTGTTAGTCCAACCTTCATCTTTTTTTTAATTAGGTGTACTGTAAAGTACTTTTCTAGCTACATATGTCGAAATTTTCATCCAATATATAGTTTTTTCATAGCTGTTATGAAACGTAGTAGTCCAATCCCGAAGTACGATCCCTTTAAGGGGGGGGTAAGGTTTTAAAGGCCAAAAAAAGGTCCATGTTTGACTTTTTTTTTGCGGCGATATGAGTAAGTTTATTTTATTGAGCTTAATTACATGTTATTGTTTAACTTTTGAAGAGTATTAGAAAAAAAAATTATTAAAAAATATTAAGAAATAAGCCTGTGGCGGTTAATCTTCCGAAGCGCCTGAAGAAAAAGTTGTTTTGCGGTGAACATCATAGGGCGTTAACGGATCATCTTAAAAATAAAATGTGATATGCGTTGTAAAGATAATGAATTTCCCAAGGTAATCAGGAAGAGTTTTTTTTTAATTTATTTTTTTGTCTATTTTTGGGAGCACTTGAAAGTGAAAAGTGCGATTTTAGCTTTAAAAATCGCTGTTAATTTATTTTTTAAAAATAGAAAAAAATTAAAAATTAAAAAAAGCTCTTCCTGATTACCTGCGTATTTATATTGAGAATTTGTGTTAAAAATTTGAAAAGGATCGGTTCAGTAGATTTTGAGTTCTGATGTTCACCGACTTTTAAAATAACGTCTTCGGCAAAATCGATTCAAAGTATTTTTATACGTGGAAATACGTCCAAATACGGTTGTTTAAAACGCTGTAACTTCGTTAGTTTGACTTTAATTGACTTAAAATTTTTACACAATGTTCTCGACATATTGGTCATTCAGAAAAAAAAAAAAAAAAAATCGAAAAAAAAATTTTTTAAAACCTTACCCCCCCTTAACCAATTACATCGAGTATATTTTAAATACTATTTTTATTACGCTTTTAAGGCCAGTAATACATACATCTTTTGTGTTGCCATAAAACAGGGGTGGAAAAGTTAAAATGCTGACCATTTGAATAGAAAATTTAGCCGTTGATATCGTCATATTTTAGCATATGGTACGATCTCTCCATTGTTCGACTTTCCTTGTTTGATTTTGGTGACTGGTTTATTGAGTAAAATATGTGTTTCTATTGTAAGTTTAAAATTTTAGGTGTTTCTCTCTTCAAACAATTTCATTTCACAATACAAAGTTTCGACAGCTACAGACAAATAACCCCCGTTTTAGATTATACTTTTTGATATTCCTAACCAACTATTCAGCTTCCTGAATCTCCTTCTCCCTGTACCTCACATTCCAGCCAATTTAACGCCGACTTGGACAAAACAGACGACTTCAACCTCTACAAACCATAAGATACAAAACAAAATGGGTCTTTTCGCATACTCACAGACAGCTTCCAATTATTAAAATCAATCTTAATTTTCTCTCTAACGATTTGCTTTCCATTCTTTTTCAATTGCGTTTTTAACCTGCCCCAAATAAGTCGACGCTCTTCTCTTAGAAGCTCATATAGCCGCGGGAAGTAGAACGACGCCTAGCACACAAATACGATATAAGAACGACCAGAATAAGAGCGGCTAAGGCAATGCCAACGGCAATGGGCACCACGTCCGACGTTTCAGAGCTGTCGCAATCATGTCCGGCTGAGAATCCAGTGGCATTAGCCGATAAGAAGGCTTCAACCTGGAGGTGGCTGACGCTTATCCATCCGATCAACTGCTTAGCATCCACGGTCTCGGTCAGATTCATCTTCTGAACACGTGTGCAATGGAAGGACATCTTTTCCGGCGTCTTAAACTCACCATCGCCCCTATGAAGGAGCTGAATAGTTTGGTTTTCTGCAATACCCAATTGGCTTAAACTTTTCTCATAAAAACATATTTAAAAATTCCATACCCTTGGCGTCGGGGAAGTCCTCGGGCAGCACCGTCAGATGAATTTGGATTGAGGAGAGCACAGTGGTGTCGTTCTTTTTGTCAAAATACATCAGCAACGACTGCTTGGAAGTATCGGGACCCCAGATAAGATGAATATCCTGGGTGGTCTTGCTATTACACTCCTTGTCTTCAACCGTGGCATTGCTAGGGATGTTGTACAGGCCGTGGGTAAGGTTTCCATCTAAATTTGAAAAACAACAAAAAAAAACTATATAATCCAGTACCTTATTATACCCCCACCTCCCTTGAACAACTTGAAATATTTAAAACACATAGCAAACGTGTCTTCCAACATATTTACAAAAATGTGTGCAATTGCTAAGGCTCTTAATTAATCGAATCTGTTTTTCGTCTAAATAATGAGACTACAAAGTTTTCTTACCCTTAGCTTCGTAGGTGAAGTTAAGTTGGGCTGCCATTTGAAGCAGAATGCAGGAGGCATTCCAAGTGCCTACGGAGGGCGGAGGATTGGGTTGTGGGGCATGAGTCGTGGTTGGCACCGGTGCTGGTGTAGTCGTTGTCTTTGGCGGCTCTGTGGAGGTAGTGGTGGATGTCGTCGGAGTGATCGATGTTGAACTAGAGGTGGTTGGCTTCTCTGTGGTTTTTGAAGTCGTCGAGGTTGATGTGGGTGTGGTGGTCAATGGGTTCGTTTGATCCAAGTTTGTTTTAGGAGTTTTAAATTCGGCACCAGTCAAACTAAACAAATTTTGAGATAGAACTGAAATAACAAGATGTTTAAGAATTTAAAGTTATTATTATTTTATATACATATTTAAGTTTTTTTTGTTATCTTTCTATATAATTTAAGCTAGCACAAGGGGTTTCAGTAAAAGTTTAGCAGTGTTTGTAGTTTCTTTGTTCTCTTTTCACCAGGCGGTTCACAAATAGGGTGAGTCACTTTTCGCTCGGTAAATAATTTATTTACGTTTTTAACAAAAGATAAGAGAATATCAAATTCACTGTGCGCTATTAAAAATGCATATGAACTTAAGCATTAATCATACATACATAATTAAGCGATTATACGAATAAAAAAGAGAGCCTTGACCAGAAAGCTATGAAGTTGTCAAGTTAATGATAAAGCATACAAAGAAAGCATAAAACAATTTTATCTATACTTTTTATTTTTTAACAGCCTTTGAAAATGTATCAACTACTTGTTTTTATGTCTGGTTGTGATTCATTACTAATTGAACCCTTGTTGTTAAGCAAATTATTAATCGGAATGAATTGGTTTTTTTATCATAACATCCGCTTTAACATTTCGACTTAATGTGCCGTCACGAACTCACCCACTGCGCCTGGTCTAGTTCAATGCCGTTGAAATGCATTGCAGAGAGATGACCTTTAAATGCAAGTTAAGCGAGCAAAAAGACTGAGGAAAGACAGGTTACAGACAAGGGGCGTGTAAGATAATTTTCTGGCGCACAGAAAAATATGCTAGGGAAACAAATCGCATCTGGTAAAAGGGTTTATTTATTTAATACCATTGCTTTTAAACGCAAACTGAGTAAAAATAACACATATAGCCTATATGATATAGGTTTCTGTATACTTTTTAGTTATTTAACTATTCTTATCAAAAACGAACCCACGAACTTAATCAATCGTTTAAACTTTAAAGGATGTTAACATTAAGAGCACATAAATTACAAAGAATAAAAATTATCGCTAGGAGAGGATTAACTTAAAAAAAATAAATAGAAAAAATATACGTTTTACTAAAGCTCTCCGATGTTTCTAGCCTTTTTGCATGACTATCGCGCCAACTTGGGTTTTTACTTGGGAAATCTATTTCAAATACCTCCCAGCATATGGAGATTAGCAAGCAAGCCTCAGACCGCAAGAAATCGGAGACTGCAAATGACATCAACCATGTGGGGAGCAATGCCAGTACTAAAGGGGAATTACGTTCCACAATGGACGCCCTCATCGTCGGAGACGAAAGCGATAAGCTGAGAACAATAGGCCACCGATCTAGTTAGCAAATAAACAATTCAAACAGTGCACTTACAGAGTTTCTTCTAGAAGTTAGTGAATTAAAGCTTATATTTTTAATATATTACGCATCACAATATTATTTAATAGGAATTAAGGCTCCGAATCTTGCAAAATAATTTTTTAGTTTTTAATTTAAGTTAAGATTTACGTAGTAGCTTTTTTACATGGACAACAAGAAGATAAAAAAGTAATAAGTTCGATTTTTGTTTTTCCATTGAAAATTAAAAAGTGGCCAAAAATAGTTATTGGGAACAAGTTAAACCATTTTTTTTTACGTGCAATGCCTTAAGTTAGCACTGTGCACATATGTATTAGCTAAAGGGGGCGGAAGGAAAAAAGTATGATAAATAGAATATGCCTGCATAACGGGGCCCATGAATTTGTCTAGTTGAAACTCTCGGGATGCAGGTAGCCGATACCAGCTGTAATACATGCCAAAAGAGAGTGGCAGGGGAGAGACTTCAAAGCAGCAATAAGGGTCACCATTTCCGTAGAATGAAGAGAAATTACCGGCAGAATATACAATCTAACTGGATATTTGCAGGGCTGGCGTATCAACGTTTTTCGTTGTCCACAACGCCAGAACCCCAAAAACAAAATCCTATACAATCGTACTTGTTTTCCTTTTTTTTACTTTTTCCGCAGATAAAAAACACTTCGAACTAACCCAGCTGGTTACGTGAGCGCGAGCGAGACGGCGAGTAACAGTTAGCGAATAAACGACAAGTATAAATAATTTGCGATGAATAAGCACATTAAACAAAGGCATACAGCGCGACGCAGTTTTTTTTTGGCTGCGAAAAAAGAGTTCGCGTAGTTCGTCGTATTTTACTCACCTGCCCCACTGAGCAATAATAGTGCCGAGCAGGTCAACAATTTGCTGGCAAACATGTTGCAAGTCGATCTAAGTAAGTCCTGCAGCTATTTTCTGATCCGTTGCTTGCTTTGGCAATTGACACTGCTGCTTGTTGTTGCTTTGTCCAAATTAGTTTTTATTCCCCCTTTTTCATGCTCTGGATATTAGTGTGGCCAAGTTTGTGAAGCAAATAAACTTACCAAAGAAACCTTTAATCCTAAAAAATTCACTAGCCCGGACATAAGCCAGGGAGGAAAACTTTGACGGAAACTCAGCACTGACTCTCACCGTAATTATCATAGGTGTCAGTGTTAAGATTTTATTTCATTCTACCAACGTTTTCCGTTGCAGCTATCAGGCTGTCAGGCGGATTTGATTTTGATTCGGTAGCATAATGCTCCTCCAAATAAATCAAAAGAAAGTGGCATACGAGTATTGACACACATAGGAAAATGTATATTTTTAAAGACAACGGAGTAAGTCATACGTCGTGACGAACCAATTAAATAACGAATATTGAAATAAGTGGTTATGAGCATTTCTGATTGGTCTGCGGAGTGCACCATCTTATCATCAAATCTTATGTGATTGATGACAACTTTAGAAACGCAAGATCAGGCTCTCTCTGATTTCTAAAAATTCATTTTCATTTTGGCAGCTTTATGATAGAGTTATCCGATGTTTATCAAATTTAATCCGAAATTCAATAGTGGTTAAGTCAAGTCGATCGGATCAAAAATAACGGAGGGTGAGTGAAATAGTCGTCCGATCCGGCCCGCCCTGACTTACATACTGCGTGCGATAATTACACAACTTTTGGGAAAGTTTTTAGACTAGTTTGAAGAGAAACAGACAGACGGACAGACGTACAGACGTATTTGGATTCTGATCGTGATGCTGATCAAGAATATATATTCTTTATGGGGTCTGAGGTGTCTCCTTCACTGCGTTGCAAACTTCTGACTGAAATTAGTCAAATTTTATATTTTCAGTTAAAGACAATTTTTTAATAATTTTATGTATGAATTTTATATATGAAATGGATCGGATAAGCAAGTTTTATCACCTAGTGTATGAACTACAGAGTGAGGTGCCAAGACACCATCTCTATGTTAATGCTTAACTTCCATAAATTGGGTGGCCATGCGGACTGTTTTTCTGCGGATTTATTTTAAAACTCAAAAATTATCCCGAATGAAAAAATCATTTACCCCACTAAACCCTGGTGACTTTTTAAAACATGTCATACGTGAATTCACCAATTATTTATAACAAAGTAATACCTATTTTTATTATTATTTCTTCTTTATTCAATATTTATAAAAGAATAAATAAATCTGTAACATAGTATGATTTATCCTTTTATTATAACTATTTATTAAATATTATTTTATAATTTATTTTTTTACATTGTGCATAAGTTAAGTATGTATTATTAAATCATAATATGAATATTTCTACTTCTTATTAGCTATATTATTTTTTATATTAAGAATCAATTCCATAATAAGTTTATCGGGCGCCTTCAGAGGAAACACAACCTCAGAGACCTAAAATCTAACATAATTTTATAAATTATCTGCTTCGAATAATTTATCAAATTATCAAATATAGCGACAATTTTAGAAAAAATAGATCATATAATAAAAACATAAACATAGCTTCTTATTCTTGAACATACTCGGTAAATAATGTAGGGGAGAGTAGGGATAGGTGAACCATGGGGATAGATGAACCACTAGTAATATTTCACCTTCTATCAGGATTGTGCTCCGCCTGTGGCATTGAACTCTAGAAAATTTTTTGTTAACTTAAATAGACGCAAATTATGTTATTTTCACGTATATCTCACGCATTTCAAAAAAATATTACATTAGCCTGAAAGGTGGTTCAACTATGTTTGTGGGGTGGTTCAAGTATCCCAACGGGTGGGGATTTAAATTTAAAATTTAAAATGCTCATAAAGTTCAAAAAACGTGACATATTATTTTCACAAAATACTTTAAATGCAAAGGAATGAATGCTCTTTTAGATTCCTATAAACAGCAGACCCTAACGTCGAGTTGTTCAGGCATAATAATGTTCAACAAAAAAAGTGGTTTACCTATCCCCACTCTCCCCTAGATTTGCATTTTTTACAATTAAAGAAATAATAATTAAATTTTATAAAATCGGACGACTATTGCTGCTATATTTAATCAATCTGTTTAAAAAAAAGCTGTAAAGCGTATAAAAAAAAGCTTTTGAGCCTTTATTCCTCTTGTTCAAGTGCGGCCCTTATGACCTTGATGAACGAGTCCTTCGATGCTACGTTTGATATAATTTTCTTCTGTAAGTGCAAAAAGTTTGAATAATAGGGACAAAATTTTTATTTTTGCTCCAACAGTATAAGAATAACGCCCGTATATCTGGAGTCATCGCTCTTGAATTTTGATTTAAATTTTATTTAAATAAGACGACGATATAATAGTTCGGCATTGTGAAAGTCTCGATAACAATTTTACTGGACTGGAAATAGGAAATGGCGGAAAAATTTTATATTTTATTAAAATTTGTGTTTGAAAAACTCCCCAATTAGCTTCGCAGAAATATTTTAAAAATTTGCGGATAAATTTTATTTCATGCAAATTAAGGGTTGTGTCTTGGCTAGCAGTACATCTAAGTTATAGGTTGTGCAAATTAAGGTTTGTTTCTTGGCCATAAACTCGTGCGGTCCTACTGTCAATCAGCTGTTATTACGTTGCGTGTGCATAAATAAGCTTCCACATTCATTGTTGCCATTTTAGCTTATTTCAAGCTAGATTTAGCATATTTTAAAATGAAATAGCTTGAAAAATACTTGAAATGCATATAGCTTAAAATCTGGCTTATTTCAAATTTCATTTAGCTAATTTCGGCTTAAAAAAATGTATAACAAAATATGTTTTTTTTTTTGATTGTATTATAATTTTTGGTAATTTTTTTCGATAATTTGGACCAAATTCATATATGTTGTACTTTAATAATAATCTTTAGCAAGTTCCGGTCACACTGAAATTTTGCACATATTTGTTTTGCGATTGTTGTTGCGTCGTTTTAGAAACGACGAGAGATATGGACTGCGTCATAGCAAATGTTGCCATGACTACCAACTTCCAACGAAATACCTCGCTTTAGTTCAATCATCCGCCAAATATATGGAATCTAATGATGAAGTTGATAAAATTATTTCTTTACTATAATAGTTATATAAATATCATATCAATATCGTATCAATAAAAGTAAAAAATCAATTATTTTAATGTTTTCCATGGTTAGCATATTTTTAGCTTTCTTTTTTTTAATTTTTAGCTTATTCTAGCTTATTTTTTTCTTCAATCTAGCTTAATTTATCTTTTAAATTCTGGCAGCACTGTCCACATTGCCATTTCTACGTCTATTTCACTTCTGTGTTGGTCACAAATCCGAGCGGTCGGCATGTTATGGATTTGTGTTCGTTGGTCTTGGGTTAAGATGTGGCGGTGGCGGTAGAGAAGACGTCTAAGTTTTCTTTTCGTTTTAATGGACAACAAACATTGTCTGTTTAGTTTAAAGGTTTGGTGGGGTTTACTAGGATCAATTTTTATTTTTGGGATGGCATTTTCAGAGTCGAGTTCTTATAAGTATTTCGTTATGGCGTTTGATAGTATTTCTACATGGTTATCAATTTCGTCTATGTTTATATTTTGGTGATTTGGAACGTCTCTAATATTTTGTAGTATGATTAAGTTCCAGTGTATATAGTTTATTGTGTTAAAATTGTATGTTGTTTTAGGTTGGGTAATTGTTGTTTCTACTCTATAGTGGCCTGAAGAGAAATCTTTTATGGTTTTACAACCGTAGATAAATGCATGGTTGTCTTTGGAGATGGAACTTACTACTATTGAATTTGGGGGGTTGGTTCACCACTAGCTAGGAGGTGGAGAGTTGGTTGATTTGACAGCCATTGGTCTAGAACAGTTCCAGCGTTGTTCACGTGTCGACGGTTGAAGTTAGGTTTATTCCAGGAGGGAGGGTTAGCATTTAGGTCGCAGCCTATAATAATTTGGTCGCAGTTCTTAATTTTAGTTAATTTTAAGTTATGTTCTGCTAGCATCATAATATCAGGTTTGTGTTTTATTAGAAATTGGTTAAGTTCAATTCTTTTTCTTAAGAGAACCATTCGGTTTACATTCTGGAAGATAATTTTCATTTTTGGTTTACAGTTATTTGAATAAGAAAGTCCAGTATTAATGATTGTTTAGATTTAATGTCGGTGTTTACGGAGGGATATTTATTTACAACAGATTTCATTATTTCATAGCAAGACAGAAGGTCTTTGCCGAAGGCATCAAAGGATAGGTTATTTAGTTTTTCAAATGATAAGGATTTATTGCTGGTTTGAGATTGACCTGGTTTATTGATTGGTGCATTGTTGGCTTTTGTTTTTAATGCTGCAGCAAAGCTAATACCTTCTTTTATTTTTGTTTGTGAGAACGGAATTGAGTTAGTAATTTTATTATTTAGGGTTTTGTTTTGTATTTGTCGTTTGTCTGTAATAGTTTTGATGAGTTTGATGCGGACGGGGCAAAATTTTTGCGTTTGCAGTATGATTTCCCTTGCAGTTTGTGCATCGGGTCTCATTGATAGTTTGTGCAGATAACACATTTTTTATTTTGCATTGATCGGGTGCGTGCTTTTCAATGCATTTAACTCATTGTTGTTGGATGCAACATGCAGAAAGCGCTGACAACGCTTGCACTGTTTGATGTGATTAATTTGTATGGTTCAATGTCTACTTTGCAATTAAGTATTTAATTTTGTAAAGATTATTTATTTCATTAGTTTTTTTTAACTACAACGAGCCAGTATTTATCTTTATAGGGTTCTACTGAAATTATATCTAAATTAGGTACATTTTCTTTTAAGGCAATAAGAACCTCATCTTTGTTAAATATTGAGGCCGGTAATTTTTTTTATAATATTATGCGGTTTTAGTTGCTTAGGGGTGTACGTGAAATAGTGTAAATGATTTTTAGAGATTATATCTTTTGCTTTATCAAATGTTTCAATCGAAAATACTTTTAGGTGGATTATTTATTTATTTATTTATTTATTTATTTTACACTGTATACCTATGTTAAAACTTAGGCTACAGGGAAGGGGAAACAGCCATAGCTGCTGGGGCTTTCGGCTGGCTACTTATTTAAATAAACAAAAAGTATTTTACATCTTAATATTAGTTTAGTTATAAGCAAGTAAATTCATTATTATATTATATAAATTGATTGACTTCATTACTTCAAAATTCGGGCACAGTTTGTTTGCTTATGAGTTTCTAAAGGAGATTAAATAATTTCGATTTCTTAAGGTAATTAAGGATTAGGCTTAAATTCATGGGTGATGGATTAGCAAGGAGCGGAAGGAAATCGGAATTTGGTATATTAAGGCGAAGATTATTAAAAGTCGGGCACTCGTTTAATATGTGCAAAACAGAGGTGTTCGCATTGTTGCAGAAGATGCATTGGTTGCAGGGCGGTTGTAGGAATTTGTTTTTGTGAGTGAGCCTTGTGTGGCCAAGTCGTAGTCGTATTAGGGTCGTTTGTTCCTTTCTCGATAAATTGCAAAAATAAGCGCCCTTAGTAAAATCAGCCATGGTCAATGAACCGTCATTCAGCTGTTTGTACCAGTTGGAGGATTCTAAATGGAGATTAGAATTGCGATTAGAAAAAGTAGACTTTAGGAATCTACGAATTTCTGGTTTGTTAATATTAGGGCTTGTGAGAACTGGAGACATTGTGGCTAATTTGGCTGCTTGGTCTGCAAATTCGTTTCCTGCGATTCCAGAGTGGCTCGGAACCCAAAGTATTTTAATTTTGCTTGGGGAGTTTGTTAGAAGTCTGCGGATGTGGGAAATCGTAAATGTCGAATTATCGATGTTTGCTACTGCTTCAATAACTGAAAGAGAGTCCGTAACAACGCAAATTTTTCCTTTCATAAGAAGTCCAATTTTGATAGCTTCAAGAATAGCTACTGCTTCTGCGGCATAGACCGTTGAGTAAGCTGGCAGGATCCCCAATTTCAGGATATTGGTCTCCGTGGTTACGGAGTAACCAATAACCTCTTGGGATAATGATCCATCGGTATAGATTAACTTATAGTTATGCAAATCTCGTTTTTTAACCAAAAACTCTTTTGTAAAGATGTCCTTTGGTGTGGTTGATTTGTTGTATCTGCTAAATTGTGTATCTAACGAGTTCTCAGATAGTTTCCATGGGGGTCTTGAAGTTGGTAACTTAGTGGGTTGCTTGGAGTGAAGTCAATAAGGGCAGTTTCCTGGCTTGTTAGGTGGAGGTTGGGATAAAGCTGATCTTTGCCGTATGAGTTAGAGTTTAAGTTTTTGATTTTTTTATAACTAAGATTATTGTTGTTTAGTTTTTTTATTTTGTGGGCTATTGATTTTATTTCACTCATTTCTATTAGATTTGTAATTTGCATGTTTAAATTTTGTATGATGTTATTGATTTGAGTTCGCTGTTCTTGGGTTAGGGTATGGCGGTGGCGGTAAAGAAGACGTCTTAATTTCCATTTTGTTTTTATGCGTAATAAACATTGGCTGTTCATTTCAACCGGATGGTGGGGTTTATTGGGGTTAATTTTTATTTTTGGGATGGCATTTTCGGATTCGAGTGCTGTTGAGATGGCATTTGAGAGAATTTCTATATGATTGTCAATTTCGTCTGAGTTTATGTTTTGATGGTTTGGAATGTCCCTAATATTTTGTAATATGATTGTGTTCCAAAGTAAGTAATTTATTTTGTTGAAATTGTGTATTGTTTTAGGTTGGTTATATATTGCATTTGTTTGGTTAATTTTTATTTCAATTCCGTAGTGGTCAGAGGAGAAGTCTTGTATGGTTTTGCAACCGTAGGTAAATGTATGGTTGTCTATGGATATGGAGTTTGATGTTATAAAAAAGTCTATTGATGAGTCTACTGTTAGATTAGGGTGGGTTGGTTCGCAACTAGGAAGGAGATTGAGTAATGGTTGGTTTGAAAGCCAGCTATTTAGTATCCTTCCGGCACTGTTTACGTGTCGTTGATTGTAATGTGGTTTGTTCCATGAGGGATGCTTGGCGTTTAGGTCACATCCTACGATAATTTGGTCGCAGTTTTTAATTTTTGATGTTGACTGAATCAATTTGTTTAGGTCAGAAGTTAAAAGTTTATATTGGGGGCGTTTGTATAGCGACATTATGATGCATTTGGTTGAACGACCAAGTTGATCGGTAGAGTAAGTCTGGATACCTACAGCTTCAATATATTTCATTTCTTCAATCTCAATAAAATCAAATTTAATGCCATTTTTAACGCATAAGGCTACTTTGTATCCTGATTCACATTTGTTTTGCAGGTTTTTTCTTGCTGTAGCGCAGGAGGTTGTTTTCTGCATTACAAACTGATGAGTGCTTGTCATTGGGGCTTGGGAATTGGTTAAATTGTGTTCAGCCAACATCATAATATCTGGGTTGTGTTTTTTTTAAAATTGGTTTAGTTCTATTCGCTTTCTAGGGAGAACAATTCCGTTTAGATTTTGGAAGATTAATTTCATATTTAGTTGGTGGCAATTTGAATAAGAAAGTCCAGAATTAATGATTGTTTGGATTTGATGTCGGTATTTACGGTGGGATATTTATTTGCAATGGATTTCATAATTTCGTAGCAAGACAGGAGGTCTTTGCCGAAGGCATCAAATGATAGGTTGTCTAATTTTTCGAAGGACAGGGATTTATTGCTGGTTTGTGTTTGGTTTAGTTTATGGACTGGTGTATTGTTGTTATTTGTTTTTAGTGCTGCTGAAAAGCTTATACCATCTTTAATTTTAGCTTGTGGGAATGGAATTGAGTTTTTGATTTTACTGTTTAATTTTTTAGTTTGTGTTTGGCGTTTATCTGTGATGGCTTTGATTAGTTTAATGCGGACGGGACAAATTTTTGCATTTGCAGTGTGATTACCCTTACAATTTATGCAACGAGTCTCATTAATGGTTTCTAAGTTATTGTCATTTTGTTTTTTAATTTTACATTCTCCTGGTGCGTGTTTTTCAACGCATTTAATGCAACGGTACGGCATGTTGCAGTTAGATGCAACATGTAGGAAGCGCTGGCAACGCTTACATTGTTTTATGTGGTTGGGATGGGGCTTATAGGGTTCTATATCTACTTTGCAGTTTAGCAAATATTTAATTTTGTACAGATTATTAATGTTATTTGATTTTTTTATTACAACTAGCCAGTGCTTTTCTTTGTAGGGTTCAACTGATATTATTTCTAAGTTAGGTACATTATCTTTTAAGGCGGTAAGTACTTCGTCTTTGTTGAATACTAGGGCAGGTATTTTTTTTAATGATAATATTATGAGGTTTTAATTGTTTAGGGGTGTATGTAAAAAAGTGAAGGTGATTTTCGGCAATGATATTTTTGGCTATTTCTAATGTTTCTATAGAGTATACTTTCAGATGGATTATATTTCTATTAATTAGATTGAGAGTGTATTTAAAATTAAATAATGCTTTTAGTTTTTTAGGATTTTCGTCATATATAACTATTATAGGAATGTTCTTAACTTTACCATAAGAGTCTTGAGTTCCATCAGCGTTCGATGTCTTTTTGGTTGCAAGCTTCGATGTCCTCTTTTGTTTGTTTCTTGTAGAATTGAGTGGAGGGAACGAAGTGTCCTCGCTGTAGGTGTAGTTGTCCATGAAGGTGGAATTGTTGTTGTTGTAGTTCACTTTGCAGAGGTTGTCGTCTTCTCCGGGTGTGTTGTTATTGTTTGAACTAGAGTTGTCATTTTTTGCTTTGGTTGCGTTTAGTTGTTGTTGTAATGTTTTAATTACTTCTCCAAGCCTCTTTATTTCCATAAAAAGCCCTTGGATTTCGGCTTTGTTTAAGTTTGGAGGATCATCAACGTTCTTCGTCTTCATCGTCGGTACTCGATTCAAGACTTAAGTCGGTGTCTTCTTCAGATGTAGTTATGCGCTTTCGTTTGGCTTTTATTACTTCGGAGTCCATTTCGTCCTCGCGGTTAACCATTGCAGGAGGTGCAATTTGTTGTTTAGGTTTGGGTTCCGGTTCGACGATTTTTATTGGAGATAAGGCAGTTGCTTTCTCCATTGAGATCGGTGGGTTTTTGTTTTGGGTTTTTGTTTAAGGCACTTGTGTTGTGTTGCATTTTTTGTGATTTTTTGGGCGGCGTATGGGTTTTAGTTTTGTGGTGCGTTGCACCATTGCTTTTGTTGTCGCCTAATGGCTGCCTGTGTTTTCTTTTCCATTTTGATGTTTTGTTTTTGGGCACTCACTGAAGTTAAGCACAGTGTGCAATTTGTTTTGATCAGTCACTATCTTTTGTTTTGTTTGGTTTTGTAATGCTTTTAGGTATCACTCGACTGCCTAACCCAGGACAATCGTTGCGGAAATTGGCATCAGTATTGGGTGTCAGCGAGCTAACCATGCGTAACGAAGGTCTTCCTCTGCAATCCGACGCATGGTTCGCTCGCTGACACCCAATACTGATGCCAATTTCCGCAACGACTGCCGGAGTTCGTAAAATGCGTTCCCTCGAATGAGTTCTCCTCGCTGGGTTAGAAAAACCCTCCCTTGACTCTTCAAAAGCATTGTACTTGGATGTAATGTCGTATACAGTTGCTCTCGGGTACCCGAAGAATCGAATTATTTCTGTCGGCGAACGCCCAGCGCGAAGACTTTCGATAATCGCGGCTCTTCGGTTGTACTCCGCACTTGCACGTAACATCCCGGCCATTTTTAGGTTATGACTTTTTACTAGGTGCCCATGGCTTACAAGAACGCCAGTAGCGATCTCTGTCGGAATGACTATGTGGCGGGAAATTCAAATTCAAATTTGTCCGGATTTAAGCGCCGCACCCTGTACATAATGTGCAATATGTTGTTTATCAGTCACTATCTGGTTTTGGCCTAGGGTTTCTTTTAATTTGTCACTTTGGCTTTCCACTTCTTTTCGGCGGCATTTTTTCATTTCACAAACACAGTAGAGCTGGGAAACTATCGATGACACTATCGATGTATCGAATTTTTGCCTTTCTAATAGTTTTTTGATACTATCGATGGTGGTGGGGATTTTTGACATCACTGACGATGGCACAAAATATGAGGTTTGGTTGCAAGATTTTGGTTAAAAGAAATGAAAAACAAAAATAGTTCTAATTTAAAAATTTTCGATCCAAAATTTCTATGTGTTCCCGCAACCTTAAAAGAGTATGTTCAGCAAGGCTGTTCAGCAAGGCTGGACTTATTATAAGAAACCGCAGGGCTTCGATTAATGCGAATAATGGAGGAATTTTCTTTATTTTTCCAAAGAAATGCATGGGTACTGTTTGTGGGGAAGACACCGAATATGCCACCCTTGTAAATACAGTGGCTCTCAGCTTATTTCGTGCAGTAACCTAAAAAAAGTTCAAGTCCTTATTCCTGCTAAATTAAGAAAGATAACAGAAAAATTTAAATGCAGTATTTTAATATGGAATATTAACCTATTTATTGAACGAAAGCGATTTTCAAAATCATAAAAACAAAAAAAATATTTAATAAAAACAAAATGAACAGCCTTTTTTCATGTTGCAGCTTATTTCGTGCAGCAGATTCTACTTAACTTATTATTATTAATTTAACAGATACTGTTCTGTATGTCCATCTTTCAGGACATCTTTGAGATGATTTCCCATGGAGCAAAATAACTTTTTAGTGGTTTTCACTGGAATTTTTTGCCGTTCTTCCATAAGAACAGTTTTCAGGGCGTTTTTGTTCGAAATCTTCCTGTTCCTTATAGCGATGTCCAATATTTCCCAAAAATTTTCGATGACTTTTAAATCTGGAGACTGTGCTGGCGTTATAACGACAGGCAGTTTCAGGTAACCCAAGACTTCACAACTCCTGCTGAATGCTTCGGATCGTTGTCCTGGTAAAATCGAAAACGATCGCGTATGCCCAGTTTTTCAGCAGTTTGCAGTAGGTTATCCTCTAAAATGTTGAGGTACGTTGTGGCATCCATGATTCCATCAATGAAAATGAGTTTGCCCACGCCAGAGGCTGCTATACAGGCCCAAACCATGACGGGACCAGCGCCATGTTTGACCGTAGGTTTCAGGTGCTTATTTTCAAACTCTTTATTTGGTCACAGGAGCACATACTTTCACCGATTTTGTTCTGGGATGACTTTATTTTTGCTGACGAGTCAAAATGTAACATTTTTGGTTCAGATGGACTACAACCACCGTTACAAGCAATTTAACCCTGACAAAACGCATATCCACGTCCCGGCCTCGAGTACGAGAAGGGAATGCGCCATTTTCGTCAGGGTAAAAACCGGACATGCTGATCTCACCTATAAACACCTCCTCACCGGCGAAAGGAAACCCAACTGCCCCCACTGCGGCGGAGAACTAACAGTCAATCACCTGCTGGACACATGCCGACATTATCAAAACGACAGAACTGCTCTCCTTGGACTTACTTCTTCCACACAATTACTAAATAACCTTTCAACCATTAATGCCAACCTAATCTTATCATTCTTACGCAAATGTAAAATCATTGACAAAATTTAAAAAACAAATACTACTTAATTGCAATTATAAAAATTCTTATATTTTTCTTTTCGAATCGTCGAGTCGATGGCCACTGTAGCTAGTACTCTAAGATTATATTTAGTTATTAAATTATAAACCCCAGTTTATGTATAGTAATTAAGAAAAAAAAAACAATAAAATAAAATAAAAAAAAGTTTAAAAAATAATTACCAAAAATCACCTACACTTTTATACTTACACCCCTAAACAACTAAAACCTCATAATATTATTATAAAAAAAATACCTGCCCTAATTTTCAACAAAGATTAAGTACTTACTGCCTTAAAAGAAAATGTACCTAATTTAGAAATAATCTCAGTAGAACCCTATAAGAAAAAATACTGGCTAGTCGTAATAAAAAAATCAAATGACATAAGTAAACTGTACAAAGTTAAATACTTACTAAACTGCAAAGTAGAAATCGAACCATTTAAGCCCCATCTCAACCAAATCAAACAATGCAAGCGTTGCCAGCGCTTCCTACATGTTGCATCCAACTGTAACATGCCATACCGTTGCGTTAAATGCGTTGAAAAGCACGCACCTGGACAATGCAAAATCAAAAAACCTGATGAAAACAACACACAAACTAATAATGAGACCCGATGCGCAAACTGCAAAGGGAATCACACCGCTAATGCAAAAATTTGCCCCGTCCGAATCAAACTTATTAAAACTATCACAGAAAAACGACAATTACAAAATAAAAAACTAAACAATAAAATTACAAGTTCGATTCCGTTCCTACAAACAAAAATAAAAGAAGGCCTTAGCTTTTCTGCAGCCTTAAAAACAAAAAACAACAACACACCTATAATTAAACCAAATCAATCTCTTATCCTTTGATAAATTAAATAACCTCTCTTTTGATGCCTTCGGCAAAAACCTCCTCTCATGCTATGAGATAATGAAATCCGTAGTGAATAAATATCCATCTGCTAATACTGACACCAAAGCTAAACAGACTTTAATTCTTGATTTTTTCATTCAAATAGCCATAAATTAATCATGAAATTAATCTTCCAAAATGTAAATGGAATTATTCTCCTTAGAAGAAGAATAGAATTAAACCTATTTAAAAAAAAACATAAACCAGAAATTATAATGCTGGCTGAACACAATCTTACTAATTCCCATAACACAATGACAAACACACACCAATTTATAATGCAAAAAACGCCCTCCCGCGCTACAGCAATAAAAAATCAGAAAAACAAAGGTGAATCTGGACACCAAGTTGCTTTATGCATTAAAAATGGCATCAGATTTGAATTTATCGAAATCGACCAAATGGAATATATAGAAGCTGTAGGTATACAAATCCATTCTACTGATCAATTTGGTCGTTCAACCAAATGCGTTTAATTTTCACTATACAAACCCCCCTAGCACAAACTTCCAACTTCTGACTTAAACAAAATAATTCAATCAACCTCCAAAATTAAAAATTGTGATAAAATAATTATAGGTTGTGACCTTAATGCTAAACATCCCTTATGGAATAAACCATACTACAACTATCGACACACGAACAATGCCGGAACTGTGCTAAACCAATGGCTTTCAAACCAACCTTTACTCAACCTTATTCCTAGTCATGAACCAACCCACCCAAATTTAGTAGTAGACTCTTCAATAGACTTTTTTATCATACCAACTCCATATCCATTGACAACCACACATTCACCCACGGTTGCTAAACCATACAAGACTTCTCCTCAGACCACTACGGAATACAAATAAATATTAACCAAACAAATGCAATATATAACCAGCCTTAAACAATACACAACTTGTAAGGATGCTAATCACGGGCCAGGATACAAACTTCAGTCAGTCCAGGGTCCCCTACAGAAATATTTATATTTACGGAGACAGGCAGGGAAATGGATGCGCCGGCTGAAGGCGGGCTTCTGTTTAGGTGTGCATGTCGAGGGGAGTCGGGGAGTCCGTGTAGGACTACGCCAGGCCACCGGCCGTCGGAGAATCAGCCCGTCGTCCGGTACCGATACCCCGCTCCGGTCGGCAACCGTGAGCGTTCCACTTGCGGCCGGTGAGATGCTATTCCGTCAGCCGGGATCGGGTCTCTGGCCAGGGGAGAGCGCTTGCCGCGGTCGTGCCGCCGGCCCGTCATCCGGGACGGTCAATAGACCTGGACAGGCTATGGGCGGCCGATCCCGTCGACCGGGAATCGGTTGGCCGGTCCCGTCAGCCGGGTGCCGGTGCCCCTAACTATGAGGAAGGGTATGGGCGGCCAATCCCGTCAGCCAGGTTCCGTCGTCCGGAGACCGCTTCCGAGACCGGGAAAAATAATCTTGAG